CACACACATTTGCTCTTGTCTTTAGTACATGAAAAACACTAATGACCAAAAAGAGCCATGTTGAAACACATGGGAAGACCTAGGACTTGGGGCTTGGGCAGGAGTGCCAGGGCATGTTACTGCCTCTCTAATTGAGGCTGGGGGAACAGCTGTGTTCAGTCCCAGCTGCTGGCTGTGTCAAGGCACTGAGGGCCTCCTAGGACCAAGTATTCAGGTTCTCCAAGCAAAGCTGGTACCCCCAACTTGAAGTGCTCTTAATGCTGACATCTGGTTTAAATTGTGGAAAAAGAAGTTATGATTCATTGCTCCGATGAAAATCAATAGGAAATGGGGGGAGGGGGATCACACTTTCATCTCATAGACTCAGGGGAAATGTGTGTGAGTTACATGTAAGCCATGCCCAGTACATGAGCCCTGCATGGTAGAAAAATCACACCATAAAAGATGCTCAAAATGGCTAAATGAAACCCTTTATGGAATTCAGAGGCAAGACGGTTGTCCCCACTGCTGATAGCAGAATGTGTTTCCTGATAAGATCTGAGGGCAAAAACCCAGAGCACATCATAGCACGGAGCCATGACGACATCATCCTGAAATGTTGGCTCTCCCAACGTTAGAGCTATGGCACGCATTCCTGGCCACTTCAGTGAAAGCCTGATTTTATTGATTGAAAAAGTTGAACTCCTTCTCAAAACAAACGTTGATTGCTGCTTTTGCCTGGGAGGCCCACGCAGCAAAACTACCCAGAAACTCCACCCTACCACTGAGTGCCCACAAGGCATCAGGTGCTCTGCTCAGCTTCAGTCCTGCAGGCTGAGGGCTGTCACTCCTTCAGGAAAGGCTAAGAAGGGAAGGCCAAATGGCCCAAAGCCGCTTGGCGGGAGATGCCGAGACACGTTTTCCACTCCCCCAAAGTGCTTCCAGCTAAGATTAGGCCACACAACCCATCATGTCTGTAGAGATTTGGAAGGTGTCTCAGAAGTTTTTAGGACCTAATGACTGCCACTTAACAGTCTAATAATGAGATACGTGTTGAGTAATAGCCAAGAGATAGCCAAGATGAAGTTGTTTTAGTTCTAGACACCCATTATAGTTTCAGTGCTAATTTACTTTGCCTTTAAAAAGGTCAAGCCAAATAGGCTAACTGCTCAGTACTTTAGGTGTTATCACAACCAAGACCATATTCACTGAAATAACATGAAGTTCATCCCCAAAGCATTTGCTCTGAACTCTTCTTTATTTATGCAGGGAACGTGCATGTACGTGGCGCTGAACTTCAAGACCTGTTTCAGTCTATCACAGAGGTCTGATCAGACCCATTTCGAACCTGTGAATTCCTTGGTTGCTGTGTCGCAGTGCAGGGCAGAGCAGCCACACAGCCTAGGGATTTCCAGAAGCCTAGTGTTGTGATCCAGCTGCCCTCACTCCCCCTGACCAACAGCGGAACTTCCTTGTGGTCTGTAATTGACAAGAATGTTTGTGTTCCTTCTGGCCGGTGTTTTTCCACAGAAGCACTAGAGGTATAAAAGGCTTTAGCTCAGGGAAAAGAAAGGGTTGCTGTTCTTCCACCTGAAAAGAAGCCTGCATGTCTCAATCCCGGCACCCCCCTTTCCGCCAGTCTATGCATCCAGGCTGTGCTGGCATAGCACCCAGGAATTTTTTTAAGATTTTTATTTATTATGTATACAGTGTTCTGTCTTCATATATGCCTACTTGCCAGAGAGAGCACCAGATCTCATTACAGAGGGTAGTGAGCCACCATGTGGTTGCTGGGAATTGAACTCAGGACCTCAGGAAGAGCAGTCAGTGCTCTTAACCTCTGAGCCATCTCTCCAGCCCCACCCAGGAATTTTTATACCAACCAAAAGACTCCTCACTCAACTCAGCGGTCCTAATACGTTTTTCCAGTCCCAAGGAAAAAGACCCCCCTTTTTCTTTATATCCTAAAGAAAAAATCTCTAAAGAAATACACCCCCAAAAAACAAGACTAATGTAATATAAGAATCCTTGGACATATTGAAGATAACAACAAAACCAAATGAGGTTTATTCTAAACTGAGAAGGACGGAAAATTCTTCAAAACAAAGCAGAAGCTCCTGCAATTTGTTCCACATTCCTTAAAAGGACCAATTTTATATAATTGATGTTATAATTGTTGCATTTCATGAGATGGAAACGTGACAGCTGCCAAGCTGGGTCTAGGATTTCATACAGGTGAAATAAGGACTAAATTGGCAGCAAGTCCTCTACAGCCATGCCCCAAGGGGACTCCGACACACAGGTGGGAACAAGAGACATCAATGCCCTCCATGTCTCCCACAAGAAGAAGCCATGCTTCAGCACTCGAGGACTGCTTCCAGACACTAGCCGTGGTCTCCCTGGACTCTTCTGAGGCTGTGCTGGACTCAGAAACCACATCATGATTGTGCATTGAAGAGGCTGCTGAAGAGTTTGTTTCCATTGAAGAAATTTCTTATGTCACCTATGTAGTTTTTGTTTCTAACAGTGGACAAAGTCAGAAAAAAATATATACTCCTGGCTCTCAAGTGCCACCCTGTGCATGACACAGTTAGGGGCTATAACCCTGGGCAGTTCTGGATGAAGAAAGAGGTTAGTAATTTCCCTCACAGACACACCCGGCAGTTCACTAGGTTGAACAGTGTGGACGGCTCCCGGGTGGGCGGCTCCTGGGTGGGAAGAGAGAGAAGTGGTCCTGATGCTGCAGATCATCTGTCTTTGCTGTCACTGTGTCCTTCTCACCAAAGATCACAACGCTTAGCAACGGGAAAGCCAAGATTTATGGGGAAAGGAGAGCTGCTCACGACCTATAAAGAAACTGAGCCTCTCAATCAAAGAAAGCCTGCTTAGCTCTTGCCAGTGAGTTAGCATTGTCAGTTGTGCAGTGAGAACCCTGCCTAAACCCATTTCTTAGGATAAATGAATGTTCCCAGCTACCGCTGACCTGACTATGAGCAGCTCAGTCAACAGCAGCAACAGCAGGGCAAATGCTTTCTTCTGACCACAAGCACCCTCGGTCTCCTCAGAGCTGACCACCAAAACAGAAGACACACAGTCCCAGGTATGAACAAACCCTGCTCCTCCCTGCTTCAAGACTTCCTTCTCTAGGGAGATGTCTGCTGACTTGGGTTTCTGTGAGGCCTTATGGGGCTCTTGCTATTGAACAATCTTAAGTGTCCCAGCAAACTCAGACTCAGTCTGAGGCTGGGGTTCCCCCACCCCCCCTGCCCAGGTAAACTGCATCCTTTTTCATTTAACCAAGAAAGGCAGACTACGGCTGGTCACCCTTGGCTCAAGATGTCCCTACCCCAGTCTAAGTACCCTTGATTTCAGAATGGGCCCTGACACATTAAAGAATAATTGTCCCCAGCTCATCCCTCCAAGGTGCCAGTGCCACCAGGTGACTGAGAGTGGAGAGATGCCATAGAGGGAGGAAATACGTTAGTTTAATAAAAGCGTTTTCTGGATCATCCTAGCAGTGGCATCTGGGTGGCATTGTTTTACCAACTGATCCCCAAGCAAAGAACTCAAAGTTTCTATTCTTTAGTTTAAAATGATGACAGTTCCCAGCCAAAACTTAAGCAGAGAAGCCAGAGCTTCAAAGACAGTGTTCTTTCTCCCTCCTCCCCTCTCTTCCTCCTCTCCCCTTTCTCCCTCTTCCCCCTCCCTCCCCCTTTTCTTTCCATCCCTGCCTTCTTTTCCACAGCAATGTACAGGGTTTGTTGTTAATGGCCACACTAGCCCTCAGAACACGGAACTTTTTTCCCAGCCGCACTAAGGAGCCATAGCCCACCTTAACCGAAAGCAGGATTACCCCAGAGGGAAGTTAAGGTACCCACAAACGCTTGGGATGCTGACAGGCAAACAGGTGAATTAGTAGTGGGCCCTCTGGGGAAGTCCAAAGCAACACAGACCATGTATATGGTTCTGACCATCTTTGTAACCAGCCCAAGTCCAGATTTTACACACAGGCCAGTCGGAAAGAGAAGAAAACACAAATTTCCCAACCACAGCTTGGATCCACATCTGGAAACTCGGTGATCACAAGTCCAAGTCAACGTATTTTCTGAGCAGGGAAGGAAGAATAGAGGGCACCCAAATGCCACAAGAAAGCTGTGACCATGATGTTAAGGACATAACCACCAGGGTGTCAGTGGGTAGGGGCATGGACAGGATAGAACCGAAACCCCGACACTCAGCCCTAGAAGATGGGGCTCTACCTGGGATTTAAGGGCTCCTGGGTTACAGTGCGGAACACCCAACTTGGGACAGTCAGGGTTGTCGGGGGAGGGGGCGCAGGGTATGGCTGTCCCGTGGGTACCAGGTGACACCTGAGCCCATGCAAGGGTGCGCGGCGAAGAGGGCATCCCCAGACGGAGAGAAGAGAGCCCTGTAGCCTTTGACTTCCCGACCGACACTCCAGAGGGGTGTGGAGCTGCGGGGGCCCTGTCCGGAGACCGCCTGCACTGCCGCTGGCGCCACCTTTCCCGCGACGGGAGTGGGGTGGAGCCCAGAGCAACGCGGGAGCCCCGGCGGGCCACTGTCCCCAACGGCCTGGGCCCTGTAGCGGTTCCCTGCTTGGCGCGGGCTCAACTTTCTCCGAGCCACAGGTGGCCCCAAAACATTCCCGAGGGTGTGTGTGGGGGGAACAAGTTCAGTGCGCGCCTCTCTCTCCTCCGCCCGCCAGGTCCCCTGTTCGCAGCATCTGCATCTCAGCCCTGCCCATCATCCCGCACGCATGCTCGCAAAGTTAAAGAGGGGTATGTATGTGTGTTCCTCCCCCCCCCCCCCGCCCCCGCCTCCTCCCCCGCCGTAACCGCCCCACCCCAGGAGGCCCAGGAGCCCCGGGGCGCACGAGGCTAAGCTGCTGGGACTCGCCAGCTGAGATCCCCTTGACCCTGCCCTGTAACTGACCCCTGGAGAAAAGGAGGTGAAAGAAAACAGCCCCCCAACCCCCCCCACCCCCCGGCACGCTACCGCGCATGCTCAGAGTTGGACAGCTCCAGAGAGGGAAATTTAAAAACGGTTAGAGCTGCGAAGGCAGCCAAATTGCGGACAGCGAGGGGCAAACGCAAGGGAGTCCCCCACCCTGTCGCAGCGCCGCCCCCAGCACTCCCAGGACCCGCTCCAGGTACCACGGGTGCTGCGCGCCCCGTCCGATCCAGGACTGGAAGCTTCTCATGCCTGCTTCGTTCATGCCCGGCTTGGAGGACTAAGGGGTACCCCGGGAATCTTACTGAATGCCGTGTTTGTGGGTGGCCGGCTGGATAACGTGGTGCATGGTGTGGTGCGTGGACTGGTTTCCCAGAGCGCGTGTCTGGAGTCTCGTCCACCATTGGAGCCCCGCGGGTGGTTCTCCGTGCCCATCAAGTCCCACTTTGCTGATGAGCGTGCATTTTTAAGCTGATCATAGCTCAATAGCGGTGGAGATGGGGTTCAGAAGCAAACAGAGTTCGGGTTTCGATTTTGCCAGCGCTTTCCAAAGCTTGACGTTTCCATTTAGGGACTCCCCCTCCCCCTCGAATCTGAAAGAAGTTGGAATTTCACCCATTCTTTTCACTTGGCTTTTAAACTCCTATAAGATTTTCCTGGGATTTTGAGTCGCTTCTGACTCTGGGGAACTGTGGGTCTCAGCCTGCCTACATCAGTGCTAATGGGAACTTTGTGTGTTGTGTGTGTGTGTGTGTGTGTGTGTTTTCCCCCTCTAAGGAGATGATAGAGAGTGACATTCCTCCCAAAGCGTCGGGAATGATCAGAAGCTCGGGGCTCAGCCACCACCGCTCTCCGCAGGAATACAGGTGAGCTGCAGCGTCTGTGTGGTTGCCGAGGCTCCTGCTGCCTGGATGCTAGGAAGTCTTCATTCACTTCAGAGAGCCTCTCTGCAGTTGTGGGTCCCCTCTAAGGGGAAGTCTCGCCTGGGCTAGACCTTGGGCAGCCTGGTGACAGCAGCAGCTTCCCACCCAGTGACCCCAGCAGGGTCCTGGGAAAACTGGCTTCCACCCTCCGTAGGTGTTAGGAGGTTGTAGGTCAGAGCTCATGAGTTCTTAACCAGCCTGTGTGATCTTTAGCAAGCCAAGTGCCCCCTGTTTTCTCCTCCTGTAAAGAAATGACGCTGTTGTGATAGATGAGCACAGGATCTCTTTTGAGCTCTGGAAGTGAAGCCCGAGTAAAGTTTTCAAACAGAACCAAAGTTCAGGTGAGGGTCGGGGAGCCTTAATGGGCCTTGTCCCTTTGTGGGAAAGGCATCGGAGGTTCAGTCAAACACCAAAACAAAACAAAACCTCCTTTACCGATGAGAGAACTGACACCCAGAGAGGAGCTCAGTAAGTGTGCACAGCCGTTGGGAGGGAGGAGAAGGAATGGCCAAGGTCCTCTGTGAGCTTCTCTTCCCTGAGATGGAGTAGCCTGACCTGGTTCCCAGGGTGCCTTGGTGGAGGAGTGGGGCCAGGATGAGGGCTGCCCTGGGAGGACGGGCTGTCACCTCAGATCAACCCTGTTTATCCAGGGGCTGTGTGGCCCTGGGGTCACTGTGGCACCAGCAGGCCTATTGAGGCAGCAAGCAGCCTCCAATTAGAAGGCTACTTCTGGACACAAAAGAGGCCAAAGATGGTGTGTGTGTGTGTGTGTGTGTGTGTGTGTGTGTGTGTGGCACCTGGCCCAAGTGCAAAGGCAGTTCCTGTATGCACCATTCCCAGCCTCTGCTGAGCTCTCCACCTAGGTGAGGAAACTGAGGCCAGCATCACACAGCCTATGTCACTGGCTTCCTACTTGCTATTAGAGGTAAATAATCATGGGTGGGGTGTGTGTGAGCATCTTTGGCTTGGGTGAACCCAGCTTCTCTGGCACTTTCTAAACCTCAGTTTCTTCTTCTGTAAAATGACAATAAATGGCACCCACAGCACGGGGGTTGCTATAGCAACCGACCAGTCATCTCTGGCTTGGCCACTTGCCAGTGGTATGATGCTTTTGGGTCACATCACCTTTGGGCCCTCATTGGCTTAATACAATGGACAATAAAACTACTAAAAGTTAACAGACACCCGGCAGGCCTGGCACATACTCGGACAGGTCCACCACTGCCCTCCAAGGGGGAAAACCTGCAAGCCTAGTTCTCCCCAGGGCTGGATGGAAGAGCTCAAAGGCATGGACTCTGGTTCCCGCTGCATAGAGTCCAGAAAGGTCAGGAAAGGGGGTAGGATGGAGACTGTTAGTTAGGCACATGCCAGTCCCTGGGCCTGCTGCTGCTGAGTCCCATGTCTTAGATCCTTGTCTTTAAAGTGAGCAGGACTGGGAGTCAGTGAGAAGGCTCAGTAGATAAAGACACTCGTGGTGCAAGCTAGTGAACCAAGTTCCACGGAAGCCATGGAAAAGGTGGGAAGAGATAGCTGACTCCACAGAATGGTCCTCCGATCCCCACGCACGTGCCCTGATATGAATGTTCCCCCAAATAATAAAAAAATTAAAATTAGGCTGCCACAAAGATTAATGACAAAGCTTGCCGAGCTGGGCTGTTTAACTAGTTGTTACTGCTGCTTCCGACATGGCCACACTGGACTGTGTGGGCTTCAGAACCACAGAGGGCCTGTGGGGAGTGTGGAGATTGAATCTGAATTGGGACCCACATGTGTCACCTAACAGAGGCTCCCCTGAGGCTCGGGATACATGTCCAGGCCAGTGCAACCCAAAAACTGCCTACAGCCCTGTGCACTGGCCTATTCTAAAGCCAGGAGAAGACAGAGAACTCCCACGGAGGGGCTGGCAGGTGTGGCCTTCTCACTGACCAGCTGGCAGCAGGGACTAGAAGCAGGTGCAGTTCTGTCAGCTCTGAATCCAGAGGTTCCTGGGCCCAGCCCGGCACACCCTTCCCACCTGCAGCCACGCACACCCTTCCCACCTGCAGCCACGCGCACCCTTCCCACCTGCAGCCACGCGCACCCTTCCCTCCTGCACCCTTCCCACCTGCAGCCTTGCACACCCTTCCCACCTGCAGCCACGCACACCCTTCCCACCTGCAGCCACGCACACCCTTCCCACCTGCAGCCTTGCACACCCTTCCCACCTGCAGCCATGCACACCCTTCTCACCTGCAGCCACGCACACCCTTCCCACCTGCAGCCATGCACACCCTTCCCACCTGCAGCCACGCACACCCTTCCCACCTGCAGCCATGCACACCCTTTCCACCTGCAGCCACGCACACCCTTGCATTGGATGCTAAGACATCCAGACGGCAAAACACTCAACCTTCACTGCAACTATGGAGGCCTCTGCCTCGGGCCATCATCTCTTCTGCAGCAGATCCACAGCATACGTGGTGACCAGCTGTCCCCAAAGCATCCTGCGAGGGTAGCATTCCTGTGCCAGCCTAGTGAGGGAATGAATCCAGGGATTAGACAGGGTAAATGCTTTAGCAAGATGACGTGAAAGTGACAGGCCTAGTGGGGACTCAAGCCTGAAGTTGCCACACACCCCACGATCAGTGTTCCCCTAGTCCCACATTCCTTGGTAAAGAATACCTTACCTCGCTGCTGTGTGACCCCCTCCAGACACTTTATTACTACCCTCTCTGATCCTCTGTGAAATAGAACCTCTGAGAACCAATTAGCAGGCTGCTGGGTGTGTGGGGGTGCATGCTGCAGGCTGGCAAGGGGGTGGTGAGCCAGCCTGGGATAGGACTTCCGCCTGGCATGGGATTTGTGTTGCTCTGCACAGGGAGTCTGCTTCCAACAGCTCCCATTTTTCTCTCTGAATAACAGCACAGGAGAAGTCTGTGGGTTTCTCATTTGCACTCCTATGTCTCCAGGGACTACTCTGAGGATTGGATCTCAAGGCTGTGAATCCACTCACCTCTGGGGCCCTGTGCAGGCCACAAGCAGCTGCCTGGTGCTCCATCCCCCTGGGGCTAGTTTAGCCGTTAGTTAACTATCAATGGCCACATTCCCGGAGGGCGTTGCTGGCTGCAGCCAACGGCCCACTTCTGGGCCAGCTGTCAGGGGTCTGTGGCCGAGGCCTGGAAGTCAGCAGTCTCTAGTTCCTATTCCTAGTAGTTGACACCAGAGCAGCCAGAGTGCAGCTCTGTCTCTGAGCAGCCTTGAGCATCAATGGCTGGGGGGCGGGGGTGTCCACTCCCAGAGTGCTGAATTCTTAATACCTCCTGGGTACTAGGGCTAGGTGCTTTCTCAGTCCCAGCAAATACACTCCTCACGTTATCCTTGCAGGGATGATCCTGGCTCCACCGCCAACTACAGACAAGAAAACTAGGTGGCAGCCCTTGCCTTCAGGCTTATATTTGGGGAGAGGAAGAAGGGAAAAAATCCTGAGCAGTTGCCTCAACTTTTGGAACTTAGCTCAGAGAACCCAGACGTTCCCTCCACAAAGTCGGAGATGAACAAGGAAGATGCACTGGTGTATTCTAGGCTCACACCCACTCACGGTACCCCAAGGAGAGTCCTTGCCCTGATCATTGACTTCCCAAAATGTCAGGGTCTGCCCTAAAAAAGGAAGTGATCTAGGAAGGGAAGTGCCCCTACACACACACACACACATGCACGCACGTGCACACACTGGTTTTCTTCAATGGGGAGAGGATGGCTGGTTCAGAGTTGACTGGATGGATGGGTGAGCAGACAAATACAGCATAGTTCAAGAGCCCCTTGTGCGCTGTGTGTGTGCTGTGTCCCGTGTGTGCACTGTGTGTGCATTGTGTGTTGTGTATGCCCTGTGTGTGCACTGTGTGTCCCCTGTGTGTGTACTGTGTGTCCCTTGTGTGTGCTGTATGTACACTGTGTGTGCGCTGTGTATGCCCTGTGTGTGCCCTGTGTGTGTGTTGTGTGTGCCTTGTGTGTGTGCTGTGTGTGCTCTGTGTGTGTGCTGTATGTACGCTGTGTATGCCCTGTGTATGCCCTTTGTGTCCTCTGTGTGTGCCCTGTGTGTGTGCTGTGTGTGCACTGTGTATGCTCTGTGTGTGTGCTGTGTGTCCTCCGCATGTGCGCTATGTGTGCGCTGTGTCCCCTGTGTGTGCATTGTGTGCCCTGTGTGTCCTCTGTGTGTGCTGTGTGTGCACTGTGTATCACCTGTGTGTGCTATGTGTCCCCTGTGTATGTGCTGTGTGTGCACTGTGTATGCCCTGCGTGTGCTATGTGTCCCCTGTGTGTGTGCTGTGTGTGCACTGTGTATGCCCTGTGTGTGTGCTGTGCGTGTGCACTGTGTGTCCCCTGTGCTTGCGCTGTGTGTGCGGGTGGAGCACTGAACCACCCACCATTCGTAACCTCTGAGTAGACTTGCAGGGGCACTAGCATCTCATCACCTTTACATGTTCCATCCTCAAGGTCAGTACACTAATAGCAGCCCAGCTACTGTTTAGACAAGGGAGAGAAGTAGCCTTGCTGGGACCCAGTCATGCTACTCCCCAAAATGCACATACATATGCATGTATACACACACACAACACCCGCCTCTCTCCTCAGATCACATGATACCACAGTCTGCCTTCTCTTGTGTTTCCGGGAATTTCTGAGCATGCTAAATAGCATTTAATTTTTTTTTCTGTAAACCGTCTGAAAGCTATGACAAAAGATATGTAAGCTGGGTAAACACAGTCCTCAGAAGCTTAATCCTGGAGACAAGAACAGTTTGTGTAACAGTTTCTCGCCAGCCATGCCCAGGAGGGTGGGGGCCAGGCTGTAAGATCAAGATGAACTGTTGCCATGGGGATACCTGGGTCTGTCACCCTGCTTGGCTAAGAGAGTAGGAGCTGAATGTCTGGAAAGAGGGGTGCGTTTACGTTGAGTGTCTACTGTGTGCAGAGATCTCTCCTGGGCTCTGTGACTCTTCCTATAGAGAAGACAAAGTTTCTTGCTTCAGTAGTGGGGGCTCCTGGGGCTACCTGCACCCGGTAGGAAGCTCAGCTCCTGTCCTAGCCTTCCCAGTCCTCTAGACCGCCAGGGTCCCCAGAAAACTGTGTGGTGCCTGCCTCAGCTGGGGACCTAGCAGGGCTCAAGAGAACAGAGGTTTGTAGACAACTATGGGACTAACTCTGGGGTTCAGAGACATGGGTGCTGACAGGGAGGTCAGATCACACGGAGACAGCAAGGAGAGGCGCACCCTATGAGTGAGCAAAAGGCAGGGCCCCAAAGAAAATAAGTAGTCGTTGGAGGCGGGGGCAGTGACATCCACCCCACCCAGGGACCCACAGTGTCCCTCAGGGCCCACCACACACTACTCCTGGGTAAGAATGAGGTCACCCAGTCAGCCAGAGGGTGACTCAGCTCCCCAGGACAAGGTGTTTGGGAGTCACCTGCGTGTAAGAGGAAACATGGGGTGAGCATTAACTGCAGGTACCCGAGTCCCAACCCCGAAAACCCTGCTGTTATGCAGCAGGGACACGGTAGTCGGGGGGGGGGGGCGGGACGGTGAGCATGTGGGAACAAGATGGGTCAGTGGGATGCAGAGACCCTGGCTGCCCCACTAGAGGGCTGGGAGGAAGAGAAAGGACACTTAGCCTCCAAGGCTGTCATCCCCATTATTCAGATGTGCAAACTAAGGCTTAGAAGGTTCAGAAGCACATGACTTCACCCAACAGGAAGCATGAGGCCAGGACTTCATCCAGAGCCTCAAAAGGGAGAGTGGGGGGAGGGGCAGTGGGGGGAGGGACACCGGTGGGAAGAGCTGGTCTTGGGTGTTTTCTTCTCTGCGCCCCTGGAGCTGGGAGGCATGTGGGCATCAGGGACAAGGACCCCAGGGTTTTTCCTCCCTGAGAATCAGACCTGCAAGGCCCCACGGCCAGGCCAGGTTTTCACTGCCTTCTTTATTCTCACATCCCATCTTTGTCCGGCAGAGGGAAAAGTTACATGGAGCGAGGTCATAGCTGCTTGCTCTCAGTCTGAATGCACTCTCAAGAAAGATCCCAAACCACCTCTCCACCATCCTTCCAAACCAGCTCTGTGGGTCTGAGATGTCACAATTCTCACCCACACCCCTTTACAGTTCAGGAAACCACGGTTAGGGAATAAGTGTTCTGAGGTCTGGTGGCAGGAAGCCAAAGGTCGTTCCCAAAGCCAGGAGTCCATATTTACACTCTATGAAGCACCGGGAGGAAGCGAGGCTGGGCATGGGTGCCTTCTGAATGGGGAGACAGAGGCGTTTGTGAGGAAGAAGTCTGGGGACTCTGCATGTGAAGAGGGGTCCCCCTACGTGTTCCTCGACTGGACACTGAGGACAGTCCATTCCTTCGTCTTCCCATGCATCAATCAGTTCCTGGTCCCTGTGTGCTGAAGAGAGGAGGGGACAGGGCTTGGAGCTAGCGGACTCCTGCCACAGTGCTCCCCTTCAAGGGACTGCGGCAGGGTTGGCCAGGCCGACCAGCGCTGACACACTTAGACATTCTGGCTGGGGGTTGGGGAAAGGAAGGAGCAGATGGCCTTTTACATGCCTGAGGCAACAGGGGTGTCCCAGACCCCTAAAATGAATAGCAGACCCCCAAGAATGGAGAATTGTGCCAAAAGGTGGCTGCATACTGTCTCATTTGGTGAAGATAAAAAGCACAGCAGAAACCGGATTTAAGTCCTTGTCGCCTCAGTTGCATGCAAAGAGACTTTTACTGTGCTAGCCTCAGTTTCCCCGTTTGTACAGTAAGGTGTTCTTCTATCTGTGGCCCTCCTGGTACTCAGAGACAAGGAATTCATGGGGGCAGAGGACACCTCTAGCAGAGCCAGATTCTGTTGTCACTCTCGTGCCTTTCTTGGGGTCAGTGACCTGGGCTCAGCCTGTTTCTACCAGTCCCGTGGGTACATAAAGCCTGCATTGACTGCACACGGGGGGGGGGGGGGGGGGATCCGGGTCCTTAGTGAGCCCCAGGAGGGCTAGGGTAGACAGCTGAGGAACGGTGGGGAACACCCAGGGCAGACGTCAACAGAGCTGAGGCATGGATGGGGTAACTGCAGAAAGAGGAAGACTCATCCAAGAGGAGCCAGGAGCCCTAATGATCCGAACCAGGCCTGGCTGAGACTGGGACCATGGTGTGGCTGTCCCTTCCTGGACCATTTTAGAGCTCAGTGAGGGGCTTGTGTGGTGAAATACCCAGAAGGCAATTAGGATGGTAGGATAGTCTCCAGAACGGAGGAAAAGCAAGAGTCGGGCCCTCGGAGAACAGCAAAGGCAGAAAAGCAGAGTCCAGGCTGTTTGGGTGGCAGCTGGGCACACTGTGGACAAAAGAATACAGGGAAGTTGGGACCACCTCCGGGACAGCACCAACCCCGCCCATCACCTGTTCTGCTGCGGTGAGGCACCTATGAGATTGTCTCTGTCAGTCTTCACTCCATGGGAGACAGCTCAGGACCCAAGGACAGACAGCCCAGGGACTCAGTTTCTCCATATGTAAAATGGGGACAGCACGGGGTCTGCCTTTAAGGGCATCTCAGTAAGTAGAAGAGGTTAGTGGCATTGGTTGGGTTGTGTGTTTTCTGGTTCTGAGCAGGGCTATTCTTAATTGTGATGCTGATGTTGGTGTTAATGGCCCCAAGAGAGACCAGGCTCCTGTTGGGAACCAGTGTCACACAGGCTTGACAGGGGACAGTTGTCTGTGATTTACGGATTAAAGCCAAGACTCAGAGAGGTTAAAGAGAGTGATTTAAGGGAATCCAGGATTAGAATCCCGAGCTTGAGCCTCTGCCGCTGTGCACCGCTTCCTAGATTTGCTCCTGGCAGGTTCCTGGAGCCTGGCAGGGTTTCCCACCTTGTGAGAGCAGACAACAGGGCACCTCTCCACCCCCCTGTCCTAAACAGAGTAGCACAGGCAATTGGGAAGGAATGGGGCTCTCACAGCCTTCCTGGGGAAGCTGGCTGGCTGTGGGGTGAGGACAAGAGTGGGGTCAACCCCTTCCCTTCACGCCAAAGTCTCTGAGAGCCTAGGGGACAGATGGCATGGCCCAGGCCAGGGCCAGGACTGCCAGTCAGATAGAATTATGAGCAGGCCAAAGTGATGGCAGGCAGAAACCACAGAAACAATAGCACTGAGACCCAGAACAATGGGGGCCACGTGCTGCAGGGCAACAGTCGTTTGTGGCACAATGGGCCACCAGGGGACAGCAGCCGGGCCAACTGTTGCCGCTGACATGGACCAGCTAGTTCTCAAATGATTTCTAGGCCCTGTTTTTCTATGAGGCAGCCAATGGCCAAGGTAGCCAATAGTCACCTGATAGTGGCTTCGTGGGCTGATGGCCCAGGCCTAAGACAACTGAGCAGTGGCAGCTATGGCAACACTAACCGTGGCTCTAAAACACAAGAGAGCAGAGATGGGAAGGGAGGGAGAGGCTGGTAGGGACCCCCACAGGTGCAGGAGGAACCTAGAGGCTGTGGTTCCAGGGCACAAGTCCCCTCTTACTCTGCTCTTCCCGAGCCCCTGTCTTACTCTGGTCTGAACTTGTGTGTGGGCTGGAGGCTGTAGTCTCTTGGCGATAGAGCAGACAGCTCCTGGCACTGATGAGATGTGGGCATCCCAGGACAGAGTACTCAAGGTGCCACCACAAAACTGTTGGCCACACGGCACCTGGGACTTCAGGGATCCCAGAGTCCTCCCCTTGTTGGAGTTCCTGCCCAGCACAGCATCTTTCGCAGAGAATATCTGCACCTCATGGATGTATTTGTCAGCCTGCTGAGGAAAGAGCCCTGGCTGCAGGCTGTGCTGTGCTGAGTGGCCTTGACCAAGTGATTCGTTGTACTGAACCTCGGTTTTCCATATGGAAAAGGGGACACAGTATGCAGATACCTTATCCAAGTGTTTGGGACCAGAAGTGTTTAAATTTCAATTTGGCAGTTGGGGGGTGTTGAGGTATTCACAGTGAGTGAGCCATCTTTGCAGAGGGGCCAAAGACTGAAGATGGAATTCCCGGGTGTCTGTGTGTCTCACATGGCCGGCATGAGGGAATTTATATTCACTGTTTTCATGGTACCCACATTTGGACGGTGACCCCTCAAATGAGCCAGGTTGTGGAGTTTTCTACCGTGGCATCATGGAAGTGCTCAGTAAGTTCTGGATTTGAGGTTTTGGTTTTTGGAACAGGCTCCTGCCTCCCATGGGTGATGATGGCCTCCCCGGGGACCTTCAGTCGCTGTCCTGGCTCACAGCTGTGGACGTGCCTCGACTGCAGCAGATGGCAAGCGGACGGGTAGACCTGGGCAGCCCCGGTGCGCCACATCCACACCCAGGTAGGCTCAAACAGGGTAGGTGGCCCTGGCCACCAGCCCGCTGAGGGCTAGAGGCCCCTGGCACTCTGATCTCTCTGGTCATATCTGTAACATGGGAGCAGGTCCACACCTCCTTAGTGATATGCCAAGCCCCAGAGAAGACACATGGGGCATCTCAGACCCTTCACACTGCCAGCAAACTCGGGGTGGGCTAAGCGCAAGCCAAGGCCTGTCCTGGCAGGTGTTAAAGTGGGGGTTAGATCTTCTGAAGGTTGTAAGAAAATGAAGACAACAGGCCAGGTGGCTGGTGAGGCCTTTGCTGTCTGACCCTTCAGAAAACAAGTCTACTGTCTTCTGTTGTAGAAGATTCTGAGAGAATCTTGGCACCTAGTAGGGGCTCCGAAAATGACAGGAAGTTGTAATCAAAGGAAGTGGATAGAAGACAGCATTGATGAGAACGATGTCAGAGAAGCCACTGCCTCCTAAGAACAGGGCAGAGATAGCCATCAGTGTCTGGGAGGACGGCTCCTCATGAGAACAGGGCAGAGATAGCCATCAGTGTCTGGGAGGACGGCTCCTCATGAGAACAGGGCAGAGGTGGCCATCAGTGTCCAGCAGGACGGCTCCTCATGAGAACAGGGCAGAGGTGGCCATCAGTGTCCAGCAGGACGGCTCCTCATGAGGAAGGGCAGAGTTGGCCATCAGTGTCCAGCAGGACGGCTCCTCAAGCAAATGTTATGTCTTCCCATAAGGACCAGGAAATATTTACTTTTGAGACAAGGTTTCCCTAATACCCTAGGCTGGCTATGAACTCCAGATCCTCTTCCTCAGCTTCCCAAGTGCTGGAATTATAGGCGTGCTCTGCCGTACCTTTGCTGGAAATAGAATACTTTAAGCTTTTTAATTCCTAACGTATAAGTCAAAGCTATTCAGTACTGATGTCGCCCCAGCCACAGACTATATGTAAACAAATGGATGTGTGCTAATAAAACTTTATAGACAAATCAGGCTATGGGCCAGGTTCAGCCTGCTGGTCAGTTTTCTAGCTCTAATATAGAACTCCAGAAGACAGCTATGCAACACTGGGATGTACCTGCCCCTCTGATCAGATCAGATTCCTCATCTTCAGGGAACATGAACAAAACTATTCTTACAGGAGCCAATGGTCCTGTAAGGAGACATCTTAAAGCTGTTGGAATTTGGTACATGGTAAAATAAGCCAGAACCTAACAGCCTCTTACAGGTCACTTTTACTTGATTAGAGCCAGTGCAATGAGAATCTGTGATGGATTAGTAATGTCTGCCACAGGCCCAGCACTGGAAACAGATGCACATCTGTTATTCTTAGCCTAATCTTTGGCAGACTAGCAGGGCTTCAGGGAAGAAGAGGGAGACAAAAGTATTTATATCTAAATCTAGAGTTCTCAAGGAACATGAAGCTTTTGAGGAGATGAAAAATAAATTGGTGTTTTAGCTCACAAAGGACAGGAACCAATGTAGTCTATCATCATTGTCACTATTGGCTTATGTTAATCGGGATTTTATCATGTGCCTAATCACGTGCTAAGCATTTGGTAGGCAGCATCTCACTTAACCATACAACTTTGTAAATAGATAAGAGGTCAGTAGAAATGGGGACACTGAGGCTGGCCAGATTACACAGGGTATAGGAACCCCACTACTAACTACCACATTCCAGAAAAGTGATTTGGAAGCACTTGCTGTGTGCCTGGTGATGGGGTGGAGGCTGGCCCCCATCCCCCACTGTGGCCACTATTTCCAGCTTCTCTGTACCTTCCTCCTACAGGTGCCTTGGCTGGGGCAGCAGACCTGAATGTGGGTGCAACCCCACGTCCCCAGCTCCGTGGCCAAGCTGCCATGGCCCCCAGAGGCATGCTGGGTTTGGACCCCATAGGCGGCCACAGAGCTAGGGTAAGTATCACCACATGGCTGGGAAAGAGGGGGGTGACTGTCGCTCCCTGATCTTCTGTGTCCTCTCCAGGCTGAGCAGATGAACCAGTTCCCCATAGGAGGCCGGTCATCGTCGGGCCTACAGGAAGTGCCACACCTGTATTCTCCTGCCACCCAACTCCAGTTCCCTCTGCCCCTGGGGTCCCAGCAGGTACCACAGGCTCAGAGACAAGACTCACTCTCTGAAGCTCCGCTTACACCTTGGGCTCCCACGGATAAGGCTCCCTCCATGCCTAGGCTGTTGCGCCATTCATGCCTTGTTGGGATCACAGGGGCATCTTCTGTGTTTAAACCTTGCTGTTAGAAACTGGGCTGGGGTTGGTGACTCCGCTCTGTATTGTCTCCCCATGTTTTCTCTCTGCTGCCTGGCCCCGCCCCTTCCGGTGAAGTGCCCGCCTGCAGGCCTCTACAGCTCTCCATTCGCAGCGCGATCTTCCTACCCACAAGCCCACATGGCAGTACATTCATCTCAGGAGCCTCACCCCAAACACTACCCCAAACCCATCTACTCCTACAGGTGAGGTCTGACTACCCAGAGGGAGGGCACAACGCCTGCCATTGGGGCATCTTAGGCAGATAGGAAAGGTGACCTGACTCCCAAGGGAACTCCCAGGCGGGACCCCACTCTTGGGAGGGCCTGCCATGTGGCCAGCTGACCCCGCATCAGACTCTCTGGTTCTCCATCCTCACCGACTGTGTGGCTTGGCCTCTCCGAGCCTGTTTCAAAAAAGTCATTCACAGAAATGGGCGTGTTTATCTTGGGGTTCTGCGATGGGGTGGGGGAGGAAGCATCTTGGGTGACGTCTATGGGAGTGGGGTCAAAAGGCCAGAGTAATTTCTCAGCTCACTGCAGTGACTGAGTTGGGAGAAGGGTCAGGAAGGGACGGGTGCAGGCCCAGGAGTGCAGAGGGGTTGGCACCAGCAGAGGGGACCTAGGCTGTCACCTGAGGCCTGTTTGTGGCCCCGTCTCTGGTCCCAGCTGTCTGATTGCCATGGCCTTAAAGAGCAGCAAGACCGGCAGCCTGCCGGTGAGTGAGATCTACAGCTTCATGAAGGAGCACTTCCCCTACTTCAAGGTGAGGGCTCTGACCAGGGTGGGGTAGGGCTGGAGCCGCCTGCCTCCCCCTCTGGGCCTCTGCACTGAACTCAACCACACTCTGAGCCCTACAGCTCAGGCCTACCGCGTACCCATGTGTCCCCACAGACGGCCCCTGATGGCTGGAAGAATTCAGTAAGGCACAACCTGTCACTGAACAAATGCTTCGAGAAGGTGGAAACCAAATCCAGTGGCTCGTCACGCAAGGGCTGCCTGTGGGCCCTGAACCTGGCACGCATCGACAAAATGGAGGAGGAGATGCACAAATGGAAGAGGAAGGACCTTGCGGCTATCCACCGCAGCATGGCCAACCCAGGTGAGCCCCGCCCACTGCTCACAGCCTCCCAGGGCTCCCTGCCCCATCTAAAAGCTGAGAACCATGAAATCTGTTGAATCTGCCATCTCACTCCACAGTTCTAGGATGGCATCAGAATGGATGTTTGAAATAATCAGAGGGTTGGAGAACGGCCGGGTGGCTAAGAGCAGTTCTCGGTTTTACAAAGGATGAAAATTCAGTTCTTAGCACCCACACCGGGCCGTTCACAACTGTCTGTAGCTCCAGATAAAGGGTACTTGCATTTTATTTTCTGGCCTCTGCTGGGACCCATACACATGTGGCAGAGAGAGAGAGAGAGAGAGAGAGAGAGAGAGAGAGAGAGGAGGGGGAGGGAGAAAGAAGGGAAGAGAGGGAGGGAGAGAGAGAATATCTTATGTAAAAGCCAGGCGTGGCACCATGTGTCTGTGAGCCCTGTGCTGGGGAGAGATGGGAGGCTCCCTGGGGCTCACTGGTCAGACAATCTAGCTGAAGTGGTGACTTCAGGTCCAAGTGACAGGGCTGGGGTGGGGCAGCAGTGCTCCACTGAGTGAGAGGGAGAAGGGTTTGGCAGAAAGGGCAGGAGGGCCCAGCCTAGTACTCATCCCAGGGCTCCTGTGCTTGCTGTGGGATCCTGGGCCTTCTAGAGTCTCATCTCTCTAGTGGTCCAGCTAGATCTTAGGCCCTTTATGGTCCAGTATCAGCATTGTGCTGCATCCAAAGAGACAAAGGAGTCCAAACAGGAGTGATTTCTGGGGCTGGGGCCATGACTGAGTGGGAAAAACACATACTTCAATGCGAGGACCAGAGTTCAAATCCCCAGGATCCAGGTAAAGGCAGGTGTGGTAGCACGTATCAGTAATCCCAGAGCTCCTTTTGGCAAGATGGGTGGTGGAGAAGGGTGAGCCAGCCACGGGATAACCTGTCTCAAGGAAGACAGAAGGCAAAGCCCCATGCCTGAGACTGTATTCTGACCTTGGCATGTGCTCTGTGGTGCACACACATTGTTTAGAAAAGGGTGATGTCTGCCCTTTGCTTCTGTCCATTCCCATGGAAAGGGATCCAGCTCTTAGCCCACAGCAATGATTGTCAGTGTTGTTTCTGTACATAGAGTGATGATCTCCATAAGCTGGCTGTCTCCTGAGGCCTTCGTCCCTCCCGAGGGGCTGGCGAGAGTTCAGTTCAAGTCTCTGGGCCACAGATCTGTGCTGTTAGGTCCTATCTGGAGGGGAGGGGCTGTTAGGATCTAATGGCAACTCTCACTCCTGCCTTTAATGGCTTGAGATGACATCGCATCTCCATAGCCATCTCATAGAAGAGGAGACAGTCGTAAGACGGTTGCTCAATTCACATGGGTGGTGGCACAGGCACTTAGGGCCTGGTGACAGCAGGGGCTTCTGAGTGACATTTCTTACTTGTCTGCAGAGGAGCTGGACAAGCTTATTTCAGACCGTCCGGAAGGCTGCCGGCGTCCTGGCAAACCCGGGGAACCTGAGGCCCCCGTGCTGACTCACGCCACCACAATGGCCCACAGCTGCCTGACCATCTCCCAACTCCCACCAAAGCCACTGATGAGCCTGTCCCTGCAGTCAGTCCCCCTGCACCACCAGCTCCAGGCACAGGCACAGCTGGCCCCAGACTCACCGGCACCAGCCCAGTCCCCCCCTCTTCATGCCCTACCCAGCCCAGGGCCTCTCCCCCAGCCAGCCATGGGTAGGCCTCCTGGAGATTTCCTCAACATCAGCACCGACATGAACATGGAGGTGGACGCCCTGGACCCCAGCATCATGGACTTTGCTCTCCAGGGTGAGATGCAAGAGATGGGGGTGGGATGGGGTTGGAGCCAGAGATGGGGGCCCAGCAGCAGTCTGCCTGCACCCCACATATTAAACACTTACTAAGCTCCTGCTGTATACCAGCCAAGGGCTTCTGAGGCATGATCTGCTATAGTCCCAAAGCCCTGCCATCTCATGTCCTTGTTCTGATGAGGCCACTGAAGCAAAGAGAAGTCAAATTATCACCAGCCTAAGTCCCCTGGCCACTCACTGACAGATCTAGGATTTGAGCCTACTATTCAAACTTTTTTCAGTAATTGCTTCTGAGTTACGCATGCTAAGTTGGCAGGGGGAGGTTACACTATGGCACAGTGCCCCCTTCGGTAGGTCAGAGGTGAGAGAATGAGTTGACAGACTCATCCAAGAACCAACCAGGGTACTGTGTGCTTCAGCGAAGGCACCCAACTCACCTGACCTCCAACAGGGATGCCCGGCTCATGTCCTGTCCCCCAGTAGGGAGAATCAGCCGAGAGATCTGTCACAGTTGCATGGCATGTGCCACCTCCCTGCTCTTCTCTCCCTGGACCAGAGAGAGTCAAACTGGAAGGGGAAGTGGCTTTGATCTTGGTGATGCCGCCCAATAAGAACCCAATCCTTTCCACTCATGATCTCTGGTCTCACCTCAGAGGTGGGCGTTTGGATCATCTCTACCTTATGACACAGCTCAGAGACTAAAGTGGCTTTCCCAGGGACACACAGCAGTAGGAGGAAGACCAGGGTTGGAACTCCACTTCCTCTCCACTCTTAGTAACAAAGCAAAACCTCAAAACCACACACTATCTTTGCCTCTTTCCCTAAGGGAATTTGAATTCAGGGCTGTTTGGCCCTAAGCCAGTTTGCCCAAATGATTTTTTTTTTGTCTTTGCAAGGTAACCTTTGGGAAGAGGTGAAGGAAGACAGCTTTAGCCTGGAGACTCTGGGGGCCTTCGGAGACTCCCCACTTGGCTGTGACCTGGGGGCCCCAAGCCTGACTCCTGTCTCTGGCAGCAGCAACCAGTCCTTCCCTGATGTGCAGGTGACCGGTCTCTATGCTGCATACTCCACCCCAGACAGTGTGGCGCCGGCGGTGGCCACCTCTGCTCAGTACCTGGGCACTCCAGGGAATAAACCCATAGCTCTGCTGTGAACGGCCGGCCTGGAGAAAGGCACCGCGGCCTCAACAGTGTCTCCGGCTGCTGGTTGACAAGGAAGTGACTATGCTTAGTTCTTCCTGCTCTCCCCATGCTACCACGGGACACATCCGGGGCACCCAAGTCAGAATATGGGGGAGTGGCAAGCACCTCACCTCCCCTTCTGCTGGAGGTTCTGAGACAGGGCTGCGTGGTCTTGAAGTCTGGCTCTCTTTAGCAGAGTGCTGGAAGGCCCTGGGTGGTTAACCACTCACCTTGGGACACAGTGGTGTATCACAGAGACTCAGGAGGGAACGCTGTCATCACACATGTTCTCCCAGGAAAGTAACCTCTGCTGGTGCCTCAGAGCATGGCCCAAGGCTGGACCTGCCTTGGAGGTGAGACAGTTGACCCCTTCCATGGGCTCCTGCCCACTACTCCTGGAGTTTCCAGGACCATACTGACCACTAGGACCATGTGTAAATTTATTTATATTTATTATGACCCCAGGTGAGGTCCCTGGAATAAGACTCTTGGCAGATCCCCCACCACTCAGCAATCCTAACTTCCTGGTGACCACGAATCACATTTTCAGCCTGCTCAGGCAGCTCCGGCAGGCTCCTGCAGCCCTGTGATTCAGACAGACCCCGGCAGGCTCCCGCAGCCCTGCAATTCAGAGAATGAACAAGCACTTTTGCTTCTGGGAAGCACTGGGCCTTTTTCCTGCTGGGCCAGATCTTTTTCTCAGCGTTCAGTCATGGCTCACATCTACTCCTGGGGACACTGAGTTTGGAGAGGATCTCTCTAAGGCCTGAGGGGCTGAGGAGGAAAAGGCAGAGACCTGTCTGCCAAGCGTGGGACACTAGTGGCAGGAAGACATGAACCTCCAGCCCTGCGCATCTGCATCCTTCACCCTGTGCAGCAGTACCGCGTGGAATATTACTGGTGCTGGCTGCCTTTTCTTGCCTGTGTCTATTCTTGCATTGTTCTCTTGTTCCATGATAGGTTTTTACAAGTGAGGGTTCTCTAGGCAGGTGGGTCATTGGGAAGAGGGGTGGGGGCTGGGGGCCCCCTCTGCCTGCTCTTTCCCACCTTAACGTCTGACCCCACATTTAGGATTCAGAAGAACCAGCCGGTGGGTCAGCTGTCTGGAGGGGCAGGGTAAGGCATTGTGTTCAAGGGCTATCTTCCAGGCCTTCCCTTACCTAGCACACCGTGCGTGCATTCCCGTCCGTGGATGCTGCAACCCAGCCCCTGGCCAGCCTTGCTTAGGTGCTGTGTGCCAGTGCCCTCCATAAATCAGGCTGTTTAAGTGTTAAGGCCCCATCTCCGGGCAGTGCCAAGACTCTGTAGGTGTAGTTCCGAGTAACTGTCTACTGTCAATAAAGGCAGAACAGCAGCTGTGTGGCTCATGTAGACCGCAGGGGAAGGAAAACAAGGGTGCACAGCATGGGAAGCTGGTCCTCTGGCACCAGTTCCCACTGAATCTGAGCCCGAGGGGTGAGGTAGTAAATGAAATTCACATGGCTGCATTTACTGTCCCTCAGAATGAACACCTGACAGGGAGCATCGTGGGAACGAGTTTAGATCATTGTCAACTTCTCCCAAAGCAGTGGCTCGGAGAGTTTGGGAGGGGGGCTGGGTCATCATGGGCCAGCTTCAGGTTCAAGTGGGGCTGCTACAAGCTGGGGACAGTGTGGCAGAAAGACTCCTGCCTTTTCATCATCCATGACATGCTACGCCAGGGATGAACTCATGCAGCCCTTGGGGAGGTCGTGGCTTAGAACTTTGTGCCCCATTTTGCCGGTGAAGAAATGGTGGCTTGGACAAGCCCAAATAACCAGCACCTAGGCCCCCACGCTGTGGCTTATCAATCAACCATACCCTGAGACACAGGCTCGACCAATAGAGGCACCATGTCCCCGGGCACTCTTGTGACTAGCTGATGATCCCTCTGCCCTGCTGATACCATGATCTTAGCCCAGTGAGACCCCTGGACTTCTGGTCTTCAGTAAAAGGATTAACCTGCCACTTTTAAACTACTCTGTTACTGAGCCACAGAAAAGCAGTCATACTGGTGTTACTGGTGTGCACTGGAGCTGAGAGAAGCTAAGTGGGCAGAAGTCCCATCTGTCCCAGGACTGACTCCTGGGTCTTTCGGCGCCTGCCCCTTCGCCCAGCAACAGTTGCTGGGAGTTAAAGAAGGGCTAGCGACCTGCTAACCGGTGGAAGTGGACTGGTGGGGTCAAAAGACCTTTTCAGACAGTCCTGTGGTGTGATGCCAGGGCTTGGGTCTCCAAGCCTCTTAGTTCAAGGACAAGAGAGAGACCACATGAGTGGCCGATGTGACAGGGCAACTCAGTGGCCACCTGCTCATCATACCCTCATAGCACTTTGTCCGCCGAGCTGTGCCTACCTGTCCTTTGGCATACCCCTCTACTCGGCCAGCAGTGCGCCCAGGGAACAGCAATATCAGGAGACAGAGCCATCAGCTTAGTTCTGGACACTGATTTCCTGCTTTCCCTGTCCTTGAGGGGTGTTTGACCCTCTCCAGCATCATCAGTGGCCTCTCTCTTGATGCGCCCCCTTCTGGAACTGGCCAGCTTCTCTGAGTAAGCATAGAAGCCGTGCTTTCTGTCACTGTGATAAAGTCCATGGGCAAAGCAACTGGAGGAGAAAAAGATTTGTTTGACTTACAGGTCACTGTCCATCACTGAGGAAGTCAGGACAGGAACTCCAGCAGGGCATGAGCCTGGAGGCAGGAGCTGATGCAAAGGCCATGGAGGGTGCTGCTTCCTGGCTTGTTCCCCATGGCTGCTCAGCCTGCTTCCTTATAGAACCAGGACCACCCATGCAGCACCTCCTAACCATCCAGTGGGCTGAGCTCCCCACATCAATCACTAATCAAGAAAATGCCCCCAGACTTATTTATGAGGTGTTTGGTTGGAGGCAGTTTCTCAATTGAGGTTCCCTCTTTCCAGATGACAGTAGCCTGTGTCAAACTGAAGAAAACCAACAATTAGCCAGTACAGCTTGCCAAGCTCATAGATGACTAGTAATTCCTGGGCCCTTAGCGTTCTGGGCAAGATACAACTCTCAGGGCTGGAGACATGGCTCAGCAATTAAGAGCACTGACTGCTCTTCTGGAGGACCAGAGTTTGATTCCCAGCACCCACATAGCAGCTCACAGCTGTCTGTAACTCCAGTTCCAAGACCCTACACCCTCATACAGACACACATGCAGGCAAAAACATCAATGCACATTAAAAAAAAATCTTTTTTTAAAAAAAGGAATATAACTCTCTAGACCATGAATGGGGAAGTAGACCAAGGACAATTTATGTTTTGTTTGGCACAGGGGCTTGCTATGAAGCCCAGGCTATCCTAGAACTCACGGTCCTTCTGTCTCAGGCTCTCCAGTGTTGAGATGACAGGTACACACCATTATGCTCGGCCAATCTGAGTTTTTAGCAAGCACTCTGCTAAATTTAAGAACAAGCCAAAGGAAGGGAGTGAGGATCAAAGGCTAAGAGCACAAGAAGTCACAAGGGGCATTGCCGGCACAGCGAGGGGCATTGCTAGCACAGTGATGCAGCTCCCAGGGCAGCCTCAGAGAAAGCCAGGAAAGAGGACGGACGGGCCAGTCTCCTCCAAGCTGAGGGTGAGCTGGCTGCCTCTGGGAAGGTCTGTCTCCACCAGGCTGGGTCTGCCTTGGGAGTAGCATTATTGACCTGGAATTGAGTGAGATAGGAGAGAAGTGTGGGAGGTGGGTGGGCAGGCAGTAGAGGCAAAGCCCTGAGCATCAGGGATCCGGACACAGACACAGGCTGCTGGCCTCTGTGATGTGTGAACCTGGAGTGTCTCTCATGTCTTGAGAACTTATCTCCCAGCTGCTGGCAGTATGATGGGAGACTGTGAAACTGGTATGAGTTGGGGCCTGGCTGGCAGAAGGTCATAAGGGCCGGGATGTGGAAGGTTCCTGGTTCCTGCTCTAGGGAGAAGTGAACATCCTTGATCACACTTCCCATGGCTCTGCCTCGCCAGCTATGATGGGCTGACATCACAAGCCAAAGTAGATCCTGTGTTTGCAGTTGTTTCTGTCAGATAGTGTGGTCACAGTGTCACAGCAGACATAATAGGTTAAAAGGTCCAACTATTTAGAAGCAATTTTTTTTAAAAGTGTATGTGTCTTGGTATTTTGCATGTATGTGTGTGTACCACATCTGTATAGAAGCTGCAGAGGCCAGAAGAGGGTGCCAGATCCCCTGAAACCAGACTTATATACAGTTGTGAGGCATCAAGTGGGTGCCAGCCACCAAACCTGAGTCCTCCCTGAAGAGCCGCCAGTGCTCTTGCCTGCTGAACCATCTTTCTAGCCCCGCCAGCGACTGTTGAGTTGAAATCACTTCCCATCTCTTTGGATGTCTATCAGCACATAATCTGAATCAAGACAAAAATGGGAATCTCTCAGAAAACATGTGCAGGGCTGCAAAGATGTGAAGGCAGAACTCTGGAACCTCAGCACTGGGTACTGAAAACCCCGGAGGTTTTTCTGAAAGACAGCAGAGAATTACTGTATGAGCTAGCAGTGATCTACTTCGGGTTGATCCAAAGGAACGGGATGGGAAAGCCAACTGAAGAGATGTTCTCTGCTCCCTTCCAGTGTTATCCACAATAGCCACAAGGCAGAAGCAACCTGCAGCCTCCCACAGCAGTGCATAAACTAATGTGTTCTAGCTACATGATGGAACACTGTTCAGCCTTAAAAATGGAAATCAGGGCTGGAGAGATGACTCAGTGGTTAAGGGCATTGCCTGCTCTTCCAAAGGTCCCAAGTTCAATTCCCAGCAACCATGTGGTGGCGCACAACCATCTGAAATGAGATCTGATACCCTCTTCTGGTCTGCAGGCAGACACACAGACAGAATATTGTATACATAATAAATAAAATATTTAAAAAAAACGGAAATCATGACACATGTCATAATATGGAGCAAGCTTGAGAACACCGTGTTAA